GTGTTACCATTTTGTCTGGTTGTCCTTGACTGACAACGTCGTTAGAATGTAAAAGGTCACTAAAATTATAGTCAAAGCTGCTTCTGGCGTGTCCTCTCCGTCTTAAATATTCTTCGATAATTGTGATTGGTTCTGAAACGCATGATTTTCCGTTACGTCTTGATTGTTAACTTTAAACCACAATTTATAATGTACTTTTTGACATGATGACTTCACAAATAACAAGATTTGAACTCTCTGCTTGGGGTAGGTACTATTTAGTTTGTATTAATCCCTGAGGGTCACTTTCTAATGAGTTTCATACGTCTACGATAACAAGAAACCTTACAGGCACATGTGCCGAAGCATAATTTTAGATATTTTAATATTTTAAACGTCACTGTACCCATACTACGTGAAATGAACTATAGATTAGTATAGTCTCGGGTTCGGAACGAATGCGAATGATGCAATATGCAAACGCGCTTAGTATAAACAATCAAAATGTGGTATACTATAGAAATTGGATAACATTAACATTACTAAGGTATGGATACAGTGAGTGTGGTGACTTCTGACAATAGTAACGCCACAAGTAATCGACATGAGTGTAGTGTAGTCGTCGACAGCGAAAGAGGGTAGACATATGTCTGTTCTTGAAGCTGTCATCTGCCGCTGGCCAGTCAACCCGTGACCGTGGAGTGTGTAACCGTTCCGAAACGTAACCGTAAAAGCTGGTTTATAACCAATTTGAATAAAAGGAGAAGATTCACAATTTGACTTAATTTTTTTAATTTGTGTTACGCGATACTTGAACCGATTTTGATGTTTCTTTTTTAATTCCACCTCTAAGGGAGGCAAACTAGAGGCTGTATCCGGTTTCGCGCACTTTACGTAACCGATTTCAATAAAACTTAGCAAATTGGGTAATTCACACGAACACACGAATTCACACGAACTTTTGAGGTCCGCTTTTGTAGTACTCTGTACTTGTGTGAACTGTACAACTTACACGTTTGACATGACTATTATTTATTAAAAAAAGTGCGCATTTTACCTCCATCTTTGAAGCGCCTCTGTGGCCGAACGGTTACCGTGCTGGTCTGCCGGTCCAGGGTTCGATTCCCGGGTGAAATACTTGAATGACCTACATTTATTTCTCTCATGAGTTTGGGTTTAATTTGTTGTTATCTATGTGTATTGCCCATGGCACCCGCGATAGAGGGTTTCCCTAGTGTCGGACTATGAGTGTGTGCGAATTAATGTGTGCGTTATCTCAGGGGAGATGACGATGAGGTCAACAACGGAGCATGCACGCCTAAATAATGACTACTATTCACTCTCGCCTTGAAAAGACCCAAGAAGTCATGCCGTTCAGCGAATTCCACTTCATATCCGTTCGCTATAATCGCCGTGGAATTGTAACGCTTCCTGCGACTCCTTGGAATATCCACAACATAGGGGTGCAACCCAAGCCTAAGTCTAGTCCCTGGATGATGAAAAGGGGAAGGCAGAATTAAATCGTGCATTTCCCTAAATGATGACATCGGAACCTAATTTTTTTTAATGCACACACTCATAGCCTCGCACTAGGAAAACCCTGTGTTGCAGGTGCCATGGACACACACATAGATCACCACAAATTACACCCAAACTCACGAGAGAAATAAATATAGGTCATACAAGTATTTCACCCGAAACGGGAATCGAACCCATGTCCTCTGCTTGGCAGACCAGCATGGTAACCATTAGGCCATGAGGCAGTTAAATGAATGTATTATTTACGTCACAACTTGGAACTGTAATTTTTTATGATGAACTGTAAAATTGTACTAAAAATAATAAAAATGTATTAACACTTAAGCGACTCGACAACGTTATCGATATGGAATTGTATTAAGTAGATCAGAAAAAGCTTTACATTCCACTGCATCGCATAGGTCCCTAAGGTCAAAAACCTCGTGACAAGTGGACCTGAATCGGTCTGTAAGCTGTCGCTACCAATTACATGTATAATTTGAGATTCATACATTAAATATATAACATATTTTTATATCTTTATCTCACCTGACGATGGAGCATGTTAAAGAATGCATATTCACTCTCCCCTTGAAAAGATCTAATTTATACCGTTTAGGGAACAAGTCTGTAGGCAAAGAATTCCTCTCCATTTGCCATTCGCCTTGGATTACACACAATATAAGGGTGGAACACCAGTCTACATCCAAATTATATTAATAAAGAAATTACCTTTCTGCGCCAATAAACACGAATTATGTAATATAATAATTAACACATAACAGAAAAGAATACTACAACAATACATTTTGAATATACAATACAATACAATGAAATTTCGAAAACTTCCTTCGAATTCGTAATATTTTAATTCGATATAATCGAACATTTTTTATTACCTTCTTTTTATTATTAGAAAGAAAGGAAATGCGATTTTTTATTGTTAGTTTTTCTTTTAAAATAAAAAAATATTATATATAATGTTTGGATACCATGAGCGTGGTTTTATTGTTAACTCTATTTCAGATTTTGGGTAAGTATTTCTTCTTTACGCTTGTTTTAACTGATTTCAAAAACAAGAGAAGGTTCTCAATTAGTTTCTTTGTGTGTGTGTGTGTGTGTGTATATTAAGTTATGTATCGCATATTCCGACATTTAGGAACCGATTTCGGTGATTCTTTTTTTTTATTCGAAAGTGGGTACCTCAGAAATGGTCCCATTCATTCAACTTCTAAGGGTGACAAATCAGAAATGAATCCGGTTTGTAGGATTTCCCACCCCACTTTCCGTTAACCTATTTCAGTAATATTTAGCAAACCACAGACATACTACATCTAAATAGATGCCGCAAGTGTACCTACTTCGCGTGCTCAATGTAAGTTAGAAACATTTAGTTGCCGGTCCTACGTAGTTGGCCGCTATCGTAGTAAAACGTCAGTCGAAAATACGAAAAATGCCTAATACTGCCATTGGAAACTGCAAAAACACCACAGCTGCGAGAAAATAAATAAACAGCGATATTTTCTTACACGGATGTCATTTTGCAATCAGAATAAGCATAATTTATTTTAACCCTGTATCGCGGGTGCTATGGACACACAAATAGACAACCACAAACTCACGAGAGAAATTAATGTAGGCCAGATAAATATATTTGTCCCAGCCCGCAGCAGTTGTTAATAATAATTATTTTAACTTTGAATTAATTTCGAGAAAACAAATATGCAAACAAGCTTATGCCGCGTGATTCGTAATACATTGCAGCTTTTACTTCACGAGGTACACTTGTGATCCTTTCTTTAGTAGGCCATGAATATCGAACTAGCGATACTTTCGTATAATGCATTCAGTTTCGTGGTACGGCCGCTTCGTCTTGTTTTTGGTAAATTTTTGCGATTAGTGATGTTCACTTGATGCAACACAGTTCTCGATTTTGATCGACTTTGGAAACAAAAGTATGATAATTCTTAAGACCTTAGAAGATGTTACAAAAGTATTCCATACAAGTTTGTTGTCGTGTTTTTTTTTTTCAAAACACGTATTAATAAAGTGCTTAATTATCTTACTCTGGTATTATTTTATTATATTAATAGTTGACGGCTTCTTATAATCAACAATTACTTGAAAAATCATTATTCTACGCACGTACTGCGTCCGCGTCTTCGATTTAATTAATCACTTTAGTACCGAAAGAGGTTTTCAATCACTGACGTCATTGGTACAAAAAATATGGCTCGCTTGGTTTCCATACAGATTACTGTACTTGCGGCTTCGGTTAAAAATAGACGATATAGGTATAGGAATGACAAAAAGCAATAAAAAGAACAAAAATTAGTTAAAGTTAGTAAAAATACAATCTAAATTGTCATGGTTGCATAAGCATGCGTGCGTGCTTGCGTGCGTACGTGAGTGCGAGCTTGTATGTGTGCTGTGCGTGTGTGTGTATGTGTGTGTGCAGTGAGAGCGCGTTCTGTATTCGAACGCGACATTCCCAAAACTGGCGTGACATTCCCAAGAGTTTTTAATTATTAATTAAAAACTTTAATTATAATCGTTATATTGCAGCACATACACAAGCTGTACCTAAAGATATAGTACGAAAAGCCGAAATTACGAGGAGCCTAGATGTTAACATAAAGCAATCAGACGGTATTCAAAAAGAATCAACTAACGTAAATGACCAAAATACAAGTTCAAAAGATTTATATCTTAAAATTGAAACTAAAAACCGTTTAAATGATGACGTAACACAAACTGAGAATCGTCAAGGAGTTACAACTACGACAGAAACTATAACAAAAACAAATAGCCCAGAAATTAAACAATACCTTCATCATGTTAAAACGCATACTGTCAATATTCAAAGAGTAGCAAAGAACGTTACAGAAATCAAACATAATAATCTAAATGTCGATGGAAAGCAAATTGGTTATATCCAAAAAATATTAATGCCAACTCTAACTAGTGAAACAAATTTGACAGAAATTAAACAAACCGGGTTTGATGGTGTACGTAATACTGACAATACCGCTAGACGAACAACAGGAATAAGTTCAACAAATCTGATTGATATTAAACAAAACAGCGTTAATCCGAGCCTGGATGTAGGGCAAATTGAAGCTATTCAAAATGTAACGAACCAAATAAATGAAACGGAACGCCAACTTCAAGTTGGAGGAAAGCAAACTGGCAATATTGATAAGGTCACGACATCAACAGCAATAAACCAAACAAACGAAACAGAAAATAAACATAACAACTTTCATATTTATAAGAACCAAGCTAACTTTAACAAAAATCTTAAAATACGACTATTAGCACCTAAAGTGAATATGAAAGAAACTCAATTAAACTACATTGATGTTTACAAAAAACAAGGTGACAAAGTCTCTAGCGTAACAACAGTGGCAAGTGAAAGAAATGCAGAAGAAAATATAGTAAATAATTTTTATATGTATAGAAACCAAGCTGACTTTATGGACAAAATAAGTAAATCGCTAGTAATAACTAAAGTAAATATGGAAGAATTGCACAATTTCAATGCTGATGAAAGAAGGCAAAATTTAACAGAGAATAAAGAAAACAACTTTAGCGTTGACAAAAGGCAAATTGACGATATCGAAAAACTAATAATAATAAACTTGACGGAAGTTAAAGAAAACAACATCGATGTTAAGGAAAATCGAACTGAAAGCTTTTACTTACTTGACAATGCACAAAAAATATTAGAGCAAACATCGAACATCAATTTGACTAATGATACTGAAATTTATGGTGAACCTTTTAAATTTACCGACTTTCTTCAAAATTTAATAGAAGTTATCAAAACATTTGAAGACAGGGAACTAGAGAATTTCGCCAGTACTTTCAATAACGAAATAAGAAGGTGTAATCATGATAATTGCGCTTTTGATGAACTGTTTAGTAATTTTAACAATAGAAATTACATTACTCATAAAATGAGAAACTTTGAAAATATCCCAGCTGCAGAATTGAGACATAAACTTACTGAGTTCCAGAAGCAAATTAAATCTGAAAATTTGGAAAGCAGTACCAGATATGTAATTGATTACATTAATAATATAACATACAAGAACTCTCAAGACAAACTCATGACTGTCCTAAACAATTTCAAAACTCTTAGTGGTGAAACAAATCGTAATGCTAGTGATTTTAAAAATTTGTTAAAAGAAGACATGAAAATTATATTTTTCGATCACTACGCTAGTCTTGACAGAAAAATTCAACTAAATCTCGGTAAGCTGCTAAATGAATATGTAATACCTGTTGAACAGACCCTAGGACGTTCGTTTAAAAGATGGCACCCAGGGAATAATATCAATGAAACTGAAGAAGATAACTTTGATGATATTGACCTTTTTGGAATACGTGGATTGTTAGAACATAAGATAGTTAAACGACAAATTATTGTACAGAATCGATCAGCAATATTAAATACATCGACAAATAAGAATCTCGAAGCTTATAAACACAAAATCATAAACAATGTTGAACATAAACGCAAGCCAGCTACGGAAGTTATACCGCGTTTAACTATTGCATCCCCTATGGCTTACGTGAATAGGACTGCATTAAGAAATAAGAAGAGGCGTAAACTCAGAAAACGTAGAAAGAAAAGCAAACGACGAGGTCGTAGTCGTGGTAAAAAGAATGGTAAGTCGGTGAATCATAAGGGTTCGAAAGCTTTACGTACTGGTAAGAAGATAGAAAACAATTATTTTGGGTAAGTTATGGACTTCATATTTTAACTATTCTCCAAGAATCCTTGTCATGCTACGGAATTTTAAAGTCCTTCCAACTCCAATATTATGTTCCCTAATGTTTTGTTAGCAGTAACCTAAATTTTTAAAGGAATGAGGAGCTCTACTGCCAAAAAATTCGTCCAGGCAGTAATGTGAACCTTACTGAGTTCCGATTTTGAAGTGTAAGATTCTGGTGAAATAACAGATACATGGGACTTGTTAACTTATGTCTGTGACGGGCGCAGTGGCAGTGCAGACTCTTCTTCTTCAGATCTTTGTGATTTAGAGCTCTGAGTGGTACTGCAACTGGAATGAACCGTATTGTCACTTAACACCAGGCGTACGACTTGTTCGTTCCATCATTTGATATCATACAAATATCAAAGTCAATAAAAACAAAATTGTTTCATAATCCCTGATTTTTCATTTTCTGATAAGGCTAACGAGGTATTATGGGCTTCTAAATAATGATATCCATTATTATCCATGTAACCTTATTAACATCATTTCACAGACCAAGTAATTCTTCAGATTCTTTACTATCAAGGTTAAGGAATAAAGGAGTTGTTGGAAATGCTACGAGGAGGCTTGTATATGCCTCCGGGCCACTTCTCCGTGGACGGGATCAGAATAAGTATAACAAAAAACTTAATAAGTTGACTAATAACAATAATAGATATAAAGGAGTACCAAATAATAAACAAAAAATGGCAAAACCTCAACAAATTCAGAAAATTCGAGGAGACGGCAGGGGAAAGGGAAAAGGAAAGAATAGACTACAACAGCCAAATCGTGGAATGATAGGTGAGAATCTCAACATGTTTAAATATTGTCACTTTTTTTGCTTTCTCACACTCGTAGCTTAAAGCACAAAATTACTGAAATGCAAACAATGGATTGTATATACAAATTTTGCAGGCTAATTTGACGTCTCATTTCCTTAATATTCACACACTTACTTTTACTTATTCTTAAAGTAATGCTTCAAAATTAACACCCTTGATAAGTTTGTAATAAATAGAAAGTTTTGCCATCTCCTAAATAATCACTCTTTATGAGGTACGAGTTTGAGAAAAGGCATCGACATGTCACACGGAGATTGATCTCAACGAAAAGATCTAGTTGTTATTGACTCGCAGCGAGGGAAGTTTCTCAGCAACACACTCTAGCTTAGATTGTGCAATCTAAGCCTAAGTTTTGAATTTTTATGTGACCTGAGATTATTCATGTCGAAGGTCATCAAGTTCTTCTTATCGTATCGTAAATTGAAGTATTTAAATCTATTTACTGAATTAGTAAATATTTGTTCCATCAAACTAATTCTTCCATACATTTACAATGTTTTTATTTACATTCAGGTGTCAACGTATCAGCTCATGTATCAGTTGGGTATGATGGTAGAGGTGAGTACTTGATATATCTTATACAGGATGGAAATTTGTAATGCCACCTGGAGGGAAAGTACTCTAAATAGTATAGATAGAAATTTTTACTTAAAGGAAACATTCCTTTATTTTTTAAAAGAAATAAAACTGCATTTATAGATTTTTGAAAATTTCTAGCAACACGCCGGAATCGAACCCGCTTTAATCTGAAAAAAATGCACCCTGCACTTTTATTGCATCGATCGAAATTAATTATACGAATACAATCTCTCTCACAAAATTGGTTAATTAAATGAAAAAAGAACCATGAAATCTTAACGTATTTTAATAAAGCAAAAAAAATGGTATTCTAACTAATTACTTGCTCGAAATGAGCTCCATTTTCTTGGATACACAAATTTAATCTTTTAACGAATTCATTTTGAGTAACTTTTAATAACGTGTTGTGATGAATTGTATTACAAATCGTATTCTGAACCTCAGCCTTCAACTCGTTTACACTCGCATAGGAAGGGGTGGAATCCAAGCCTACGCTCAGTCCCCCGATGATGGAAAGGGGTAGGCGGAATTAAATTGTGTAATTCCACTACACAATCCGTGATATAACCTGTAAAATATTAATATGTCGATTGAATCCAAGGTGGCCAGTTGGGATGTAGTAGAGCCATCCCAAAGGTATTGTACTCCATATACGACCGGACTTGTGCTTGATACAGCTGAAGCAACTGTCCTGGTGAGAAGTAACTCCTCACCCTGAAAAAGATGCCAAGCTTCCTGGCTGCATTTTTGGCCATCAAGTTCAGATTAGACGACAGGTCCATTCCAAGTAGCTGGAGACGGTCGGCTATCGGCATAGATATCTCACGAAAAGTCGGTGTCAGCTCAAAGGGACTCCGTTTTATGGAGAATAGACACGCCTACGTTTTGATAGCTTTCAATTTGACAAGATTGGCATCGCTCTAATCGGAGTTCCTTGTGAAAGAGCTCGTTCAGGGAAGTACCTTACTTTTGATCGGTAAAGGTGGTAGTGATATAGGATTTGTCAATAATGACGGGGTGCAATGGCAGTACTTCTCAGATGTTTGCGATGTAAAGCTTCGAGTAGCACTACAACTATTATGGGTAGGCGTGTCGTTGCTAGCCAGAAAAACATTAACCTAAAAAAGGCTAAAAAGTCGTTGAAAACCAAATACAAAGATCCGACAAACAAGCACATAGAAAAATTCGTGAGGTACGCTGGTTCGCCCCGTGGCTTAGTTGGCTTAGCGTCTGGTACGGTTTGCTAGAAGACGTCGTCGGTTTGGATCCGGCCGGATCGAAAAAAAATTTCTAAGTGTTCCATCTTTGTATTAATAATTATAAGAAACTACTGGAGTAATTTCACAAAAAATAATTAAATATCAATTTAATATAAATTTACACAGCGACACAATATTTTTACAGATAATAGCGACATCTCTAGCTAGGGCTGGAAGCTGTAAAGTTATCTAACTGGGTGGCGAAATACTTTCATAGATTTCTCGTACAAAGCACTACGGCTAAAAAGTCGTTAAAAACCAAATACAAAGATCTTACAAACAAGCATATAGAAAAATTCGTGAGTTCCGCTGGTTTGTTCCATGGCTTAGTTGGCATGACGTCTGGCAAGGTTTGTTAGAAGACGTCGGTTCGAATCCGGCCGGATCGTAGGAATTTTTTTTAAGTATTCGTATCTTTGTATTAATAATTATTAATTATTATAAAAAACCTTTTTTGATTGTACATATGTCATGCCCTCATACATACATACGCCTATCGATCAACGCTTTGCACGATCCTGATAATCAAAACCCTCTTATTCTTATATACACTCCAGCCGTTTTCAGAACTCGCTCGATTTTATCTGAACACGTTCTCGGTAGCCGTCCTCTTTTCTCCGTGTACCTCTTTCGCCATTCTACTTTCATTTGCGCCATGTCCCCAAACCACCTCAACATATCTTTCTCTATTTTTGTTACTATGTCCTGTTTCAAACCACAACGTGCACAGATCACAGTATTTTTCTTATTGTCGCATAACCATACGAGAATGTTACAACCACACCAATTGCCTGGTCTCAAACCAATGGAATTCACTCTAGAAACACTTCCCGGAACACCCAGACCAGAACCAATTTGGAAAAGTTAATTTCTCGATTAAGTTCTACCGAGAATCGAACCGGGGACTTCCTCATCCAGCACCCACAGTCCAAACCGTTGAGCCACCAAACAAACTTTACTAGTTTTTGCATTTATAGACAAGTATGGATATCTTAAATACTTTTAATTGTCTCTAAATATAAATTGAAGTTGATGATTGTATGTGGAAACAGAATTTGAAATATCTACTTAATATATAAGATCATTGCGTTTAGGTAAAATAAAATATATCAACTAAGGTTATAACAATTTGTTTTGTTTGTTTCTAGGTTTCCCAATGTACGGTTACCCAAACTATGGTAATAGACCTAGAAAGACTACTCGACAGATGGCATATTATGACTCTGAATCCTCCGACTCCAATACCGGGAAACGTCCACCGAATAAAAATAAAAACAAGTTTGACTCCGACGATGCATCCAGCGACTACGTAGACTATTACGATTTCCAACCGACTACTAGAAGACCACGACCGAAATCCACTACAACTAGAAGAGGTAGATTCACTAGTAGAAGCTGGAGAAGAACTACAAGACGAACGACACGGGGGCCGTTCAATTATGATGGTTACGATTATGGTACAACTAGAGTGAATAGACCTAATCGACCTGTTACGCTATGGCCAGGAGGACCAACATTGAATATACATTTTAGTACATCGCGATGTAGAGGCAAAAATTGTTGTAAGACTGGTAAATGCAAGCCAACGTTTAAGCCATTTGTGACGAAACCTACCATGACACCGTTCGATGTAAATGAGGATTCTACAGCAACACCACCAAACATCGATAATCCAGATAATCCAGATCTAATTACTCCAGATAACGGTAATCCAGATCTTATTACCCCAGATGGTGATAATCCAGATCTTATTACCCCAGATGGTGGTAATCCAGATATTGATAATCCAGATGGAGGTAATCCAGATCTTATCACTCCAATTGGTGATAATCCAGATGGTGATAATCCAGATGGAGGTAATACAGATCTTATTACTCCAGATGGTGATAATCCAGATCTTATTACTCCAGATGGTGGTAATCCAGATGGTGATAATCCAGACATTATTAATCCAGATGGTAATAATCCAGACATTATTAATCCAGATGGTGATAATCCAGACAATATTAATCCAGACGGTGATAAACCAGATCTTATTACTCCAGATGGTGATAATCCTGACTTTAATCCAGATGGTGATCATCCAGATATTAATAATCCAGATGGTGATAATCCAGATCTTATTACTCCAGATGGTGGAAATCAAGATGGAGATAATCTCGATGGCGAGCAAGGTAGCATGGATATAGAAATAGATATAAATGGACAGACTGAAAATCCTGTACCGTCTGTTGAGAAACAATCTTCAAGTGACGAATTTGACGATATCGAAATAGATTTCACTAAGAACACTAAGAGTCCTGATCAAGGGGATGCAATATCAGATGAGAATGATATACACGTAGACATGAAATTGACTTCGCCAGGGGAAAATTTAATCAGCACTCAAATTGATGGAAAGTTAGAACCTGGAGATGGTTTAGAGCCAAGCGGCCAGGCTGACGAACCAATACCAAGCCCTGATCTTCCGCCTGACAATATAAATCTGGAGGATGAAGATATATTAGTGAGTATTCCAGATGGTGATGGAACAGTTACCGATCATCCAATAGATGTAATTGACCTTTCGCCTTCACAAGGAGAACAAACTAGTGTCACACTACCAGATGGAGTTACTCTACCTGACGGTTTTACTTTACCAAATGGTGGTGAAAACTGCAAAATATGCAAAGACTTGCCAAAATATACATTGATAGTACAGAATGACAAATTTAAGATAGAATTACAAATTATGCGTAATCCCATACTTCAAAAAGCTTCTAAATTAAAAAAGACAGTGAAAAAGAATTGTCCATTGGCTGAAAAGTAGCAAACGACACACAGAATTAAATTCAATCAGACAAGATACCCTGGTCTTTAAACCTTCTTTTTTTCTTTTGACATTACGAAACATGAAAAAAAGATCAATAATATACCCAATAAATAAAGTCAGAGACATAATTTTTCAGCTGTTACTATTCCACTGCAGGGCCTTTCCTTCCCTTCCTCCACTCATTGCGATTTATCGATCTCATGAACATCTAGCTTGTCACGAAATCCTTATCTGGATCTTGCACATCTCCGTGTTGCGTTTAGTGAGATCCACTCCGTGGTGGTCTTTGCTCACAGCTCGCTTGACGTCGTTAGCCAGGTACCAACCAGGTCTGACAATTTAACTTTCTAGATATTGCACCGTTCTGATGAAACCCGAGTTCGAACTTCTGAGTGGAACTTTGTGCAGTTTTAAGTCTTTATTGACCCAGTGTGTCCTACGGAGCCGACACGTGGACATTAACAACAAGCCTGATCTACAAATTTAAAGTTGCTCGTGGTTCTATTATGGACCGATGTATGCTTTGGGTTTCTATGATGAATCGGGTTCATAATGAAGTCATACGTCAGAGGACTGAATTGACCGACAAAGCTCACAAACTCAGTAAGTTTAAGAGACGGAGACATGCCTGCAGGAGGGCTGATAGTCGATAGAGCAGACTTCTTCCAAAGTAGCGACCACGTAAAACGTAGATTAGGCAGGGGCACGATGTGGGTGTGACAGATCTGAGAGAATTGGCGTGCTCAGGGGGAAGCTATATCTAGTAGTAGATGCGTGTAAGCTGATGTAGTATAGAGTCGTAACATAATATTGAAATTCAGTCTTATAGATTTCAAAATGATATGCTGTAGTTACTAGCATTTTGCAAATTTGTTAGATAAAAGTACTTAATGTTACTCCTGTCAATGACGTTCTGATTTGTGGTATATTCGTATAAGGGAGCTGAGTAAGGTCATAATCAATTACATTAAAAATGTCAGATACGATGGCGGTGAGAAGAGAGGGGCTTTATGTTAGATATAAGCTGTACTTTATACACCAATAAAATAAAAAATAAACAAAACTTTTTTATTTTTATCGAGTTCTTAGTTCTTATCAGGCAGCCTTGACCATGAGACGTGTATAGGGCCCGAACGTTGGTTTGTTTGAAAAAACAAATATACGCGATTTAAATCCGGAAAAATAGTTTCATTTCCTTTTTATTTTTGTTATCCAAAAGCATAGGTTTCCATATGTTATGTTGTCCGTAAGCATTCAAGGAAGAATAATGTTCTCGTCCGTCTTAAAGCCATACTTTGTCTCTAGCGCGATGCTTTTTTATCCACCATTAAAAAAAATACAAATTTATAATTTTATTTTTACCTTCGATCGTTAGGGACTCCGGTGTCCCTAACGATTACATAATTCGTTATTATTTATTAAAGAAACCCTATTGCAATACACATTGTTGACTTATTGAATTACTAAAAAAATACGCATTTAGAGCCAAAATGTTAGTGGAAAACTTAATTTTACTTTCAGAATGTTCCAGCGCGAAAACAAAATATACACCTACAAAAAGTACTCGCTGGCACTGACATGTACGGTCTTGTATCACCTCGTAAAAAACATGTCGGTAGTCACCGTACTGTCTTTGTATGCAAATCTTAAATATGTGTATACAACGTCCATAAATGTATGCGTGTAAATCTTTTAATTTTGTTAGTACGTTGTTGATACTTCTCCGAGGAGAAGCAGTAGGCGGCAACTATAAAAAAAGCGCTTGGAATTCGCACTGTAAAGCCCGTAGTTGGTTTTTTAAGATCTGTATAACAAACGGGATACCCCGCACTGTCATTATTCGAATATTTCATTTTACGGTAAACGCCGTTAGTGTGCACGACAGGGTGAAAACGTATGTAGGTTAATTCAGTAGGTAGTGTAGATATTCCTACATTCATTTTAAAATTGGTTGAATCGGAGGATTCCAAAATTATTTTTAATGACGATTTCAACATAGCATTTGACAAGGTTGATCATACCATTTATTGTTCAACTGCCTGCATGCGATTAGATGTATTCGTTTTATTTTACATAGACACGTTCGAGGTTATCATGGATTTCAGTAAAAACTTTTAACGTGTAAGTTCTGTCAAAGATATTGGACCATCTTTATTTAAATACAGAGTCCCTCAAGGCACATATTGTAAGCCAGTCTGTCTTTACCAGTTGTCATCATAATAGTCGAATTCTCTTCTACACGTTTCTTCATAAAGTTTTCATCGCATAAAATTTAAAATTTGAGAATAGGTTTTTTTATTGTCATCATAAATTTGGCCAAGAAAGTACTTAAAGTTTTTGTCATTTCATTTTCTTATTGTTTCTTATATAAGAATAAAATGTAGTTTTGGAAAAATGGTAGTGTTTCTATATATTGCTGTATTACTTCAAATTTTTGGTAATTTATTATAACAATAATATGAAAAATAATATTCTCCTGTTAACCATTTTGGATTGATTGATGAAATTTTTAACGTTTTAATCAATTTTTTTAAATTGTTTGTTTGAAGTCTGAGATACTCAATGTTGATTCTAAATATTTTGTGTAATGGACTTTTGGCTCCCAATTCTTGACAAGTCTAAAGACATATCGAGTTCTTAGGTTTTCGTGATTGTTACACATAGGAAATGAAACTATTTTTCCAGATTAAATCGCGTATTTTTGTTTTTCCAAACAAACCAACATTTCAACCGTAACCATGAGACTTGTAAAGGGCCCGAAACGTTGGTTGGTTTGAAAAAACAAACATATTTGTTTAACAAGTGATTTAAATCCGGAAAAATAGTTTCATTTCCTAAGTCTAAAGACAATATCTTTAGTATTTTTTTAGAGATCCATTGATCACGGAAACCAACTTAGTTCATTCAATTCCATTGTCATAAATCAAGCACTAATGGTGAAAGCAGTAAATCTACAACATAATTTATAAAAGAACTCTTTCGCCCGTCACCCATACTTTTCCAAATTGGCAGTAAAGTTAATATTTATAGAAGTTATATTTGCCTTCATATTTTTAAAGAAAGTAGCACTCGATTTAAAAACGACATTATTGTTACAGCACACGCAGTAACTGGCAAATCGAAAAGCGTCAACTTGGCTCTCGAAACAGTACTAGAATTTGACAAGTATAATCTGGACTCTGACGTAAAGATCATAGATAATGTACAAAAGTTCCTATCAAACGTCCGAAATGTTCTTCATGCGAATACAAACAACAGTGGACGTCGAATGGGCACACCTTATTTACAATTCACTGATTTTCTGTATTCTTGTATAGAGACTTTAAAAACTTATGATGACGAAAATTTACAAAAGTTTGCTGAGTCCTTTGATGAAGAAATTCGCAAATATCATTACAAAGGATGTAAGTTTTATGAGCTCTTAGAGAACAACGACGCCAGACAGTACATATCTCGTAAATTTGAAGAATTCCGAAATCATCCACCCAAAAAACTAAGAAAGGTACTAAATAAAATACAAAAGAAGCTTCAGAATACTAAAAGTCAAAAGGTAAAAGCGATTATTAATCTTATCAATTCGTTATACAGACTCGACTCTCAAAGTAAATTTCAAACATTTATTGATAATTTAGAAACCTATAAAACAAAACGTAAGAATGCGATCTCAATCGATCTTAATAAGATAATTAAAAACGGTATAAGAGCTTTGATATTTGATCATTATACAAATTTAAATCCAAATGTACGACAAGATGTGAAATTTCAAGTGAGTAGCTTTATAAATACTGATGAAAAACCCATTGAACGAAATGATATTACAACACCTACATGGAATTCACATCACAAGCAACCAACAACGGAAAATGAGAAGAATAGCGAGCGAATTGGTTCAGAACGACACACATATAATGAGAAAAGGGAAGACGACATTGAGAAACATAAACATAGTAAACGACTACATCAAGAAAGGGAACACGACATCGAAGCAGATGTGACAAACAAATGGTTACTTGAAGAGGTAACTACAGTAAAATATATTAAAAAGAAAAAGCACAGACGTGATAAACATGATAATTTAAAATCAGATAAGAAACACAGAAAACACAAGAAACACAAAAAAAAGAAAGCCAAATTACGTAAAAAGAAAGAAGCCGTAACTACAAAGCCGATAAATCTATTATTGAGAATGACACCGAGTGTACAAGAGAGCCGTCTACCAGAAAAAAAGAAGACGACAAAATCAAAAATTATCATGAGAGTAAGAGAGGATAAACCCTTGAGTGAGATACTTAGTGAGACTGCTGCAGAAGTTTTTGTAGGTGGCGATACTACGCTCCAAAATGGACGACCACCTCCGATTGTGAACAAAGATTTACAGTAAGTTAACTTTACTTTGTTTGCGTCTTAAGAAATTGATTGACATGACATGACATTAACATTGTCATTGTACTTTATAGAAAAATACTCGAGTAAAGATCTGTGTTGATTATTACCAATGGTCAGAAAAAGGTGTTCCACATAAAATATATAGATACATGTATAGATATAGCTACAAAGAGCGACATAGAGTTGTTAAACCCAACAAATATAATTAATTACTGTTTTGAATTCCGGATGTCCGGAAATGGTTTTACTGCATCGTAGAACAAAACTACTGACCCAGGAAGTCGAAGTATGATTTTAAAGTGATTCTAACGGTGCCATATAAAAATGCAACAGATAACAGACCTTTTTGCCAAAACAGAGAACAAAAAAGCAACAATAACTAGCTTTAGATACCGCATATTGACGGTCACATTGACGGAGCCGCGACATTTGCTAGTAAAACTTAAGAAAAATATCGCTCTAAATATGTTTTATTTAAATTCAAAAAACACAGTGTAACAGATGTTCATAAATTCGAACCACTAGCGGAAAAGTCGTATTTTAAAAGAAATATGTTCACACTCATTGACTTACAAATAAATGGACGACGGGTCTAATACAAAAACCACGAAAATAATGTCCCAAGTCAACCTATTTAAACGTAGTGACATGTAAAGGAATATGAAAAAGCTAAAACGTTGAATTTAAATTGTAATGTCATCGCAGTACTGTCTAATTTTGCTTGCTTCGCTGTCAGTCGAACAAACGAAGACTACAGCGTGAATGACGCTCTGGATACGATTTTAACGCCCTATAAGTTCGGACACTTTTTAGCGCGGACCCGACGTCCATATAATTGTAAGTCAATGTTCACACTAGATTATTTTAATACTTTTTATTTAAAAAAAAAACTGCTGGACGCTTAAATAAGACGAATAAGTGCCATTGTTGACGACCTCACATATACGGCTATTTACCTTCATAATTAGAATAAAGAGAGAAGTTTCTTTCATCCGGAATCCGAAAGTAATTAATATATGGTGGTTTTAACAACTGTATGTCGCTCCTTGCAGCTTTATCTATATATATGTGGAACACCTTTTTCTGACCTTTGATTATTACAGAAACCGGTTTAATCACATCGTCATTAAGCCATTTTATGTGTCCTATTGCTGGACACGGGTGTAGGCAATAGCCTGCTACGCTGGCCCAGTGTGACTTGGGGACTTCACAAGTTTTCCGATGGTTGTGAATCTTGTCCGATGTACAGGTTTCATCACGACATTTTCCTTCACCGAAAAGTTTATGGTCAATTTCAAATTAGATTTCGCACACAAATTGCAAACTCGAACTAACGAAGGAATTCAGAGGTGGGAGCCCGAATTAGAACCATCGAGTATATATCGACGCCTATACATATAATTGTAAGTCAATGCGAAATGTCATTTAATTTGTTTGAAGACTATTCTGCCAAATCATTACGGTGACAACTGCGCTCCGATTGGCCAGCCCGAATTCGAAACAATTGACGGGTGTCGTCAATTTGCTATAATGGACGAAAATTGAGAAATTACATATTTCATATTTAATTATCGATGAAATGTGATTCCGTTTGTTTTGTAATTAGATGTTTTGCTGTTTTTCCCACACCACTGTTACTTTATTACAATAAATACCTACATAATAATTTTAGAATATACGGAGACGAGTTTCTGGTTATATACTCGATGATTCGAACCCACGGCCTCTGCTTGAGAGACGGTAGATCGTACAATTAGGCTACCGCGGCTTTCTACACGATAAATTTAATTGTATGGCTCAGCGGAAGAACCGATGGCAATATTGCACATGACTTTAATAACAATACCTTTGTCTGACGATAAAGGGAAACTTAGTGACAAATGACTTAGGGAAACTAGTGACTACCCTATTCTTGGAAATGTCAAAAAGACCATGTGGTCATTAAAAATCTAGTAATTGATAATATAATATTTTGTTTATAGAGACACAAAAGACGTAATTGGCAGATTCAGAGCATCCAAATCATCAGAACTGTCACACTCGGAACAAGATAAAAAAGACGGTTTGAGCATAGAAACATGGCGACGCAAAAAAGTTTTACGGAGAATCAATCAACCTAAGAACAATAAAGCTGACAAACAACAGGTAAGACAAGAAACGACGGAAATAAGGACAACATTTGCAGAAACAACTTTAGATCCTATCGTCCTAAAAAAGATACATAATCTTGAAAAAGAACTATTACATGTCAAGAAAAAGATGCGAAAACAAAAAGCAGAGGATACATCTACTTCACGGTCAAGCGAAAGCGAATCCGATTGTTCTGAAGAGCAAAAAACTATTGGCACTACAAAAAGTAGTAAACCCACTATTTTCAGTAGCGCTACTCCTGTCACTTATCCTTCAACTTCAACTACTGCGGTATCAACAACGACTAATGAAAAAACGACAACCATGACTGACAGTTCAAGTGAATCTTCAACTGAGACCGAAGAAGAACAAGATTCGACTAATGCTACGACTATTAAAATTACTATTTCCGAAGTTGAATTAAAAAACTTGACTACTGTAAAAAAACCACTATCGCGTCCAACTACAACTTTTAAAACGACTGAGGTTGATCCGCTTATAAATACAAAATTAATTGATTCTGTCCTCGAAAAAAACGAAGATAATTTAATTCAATTCAGAGCCAGTGACGAAACAAAATCAGTGAGGGCGAAAGGCAGAGTTGATAATTCAAGAGACTCGAAAAGGAATTTAAGCAAAACACCGGCTACAATTACGGAAATGACTCAAGGTGTTGTTACATCAAAAAACGACATTTACGAGCTTCAATTTAATGTTCTAATTAAATCCACAACACCAGCGCCAGAGCCAGTAGATATAGTATTTAGAAACCGTAACAATGATACCAGCTCAAAGGTTAAGAATACTACCAAACATTCAAAACATATGACGGACATACCAAATATCGTCGATGTTATAAGCGTTCTGAATTCCACAATGAGCATGCAAAATAAGTTGAAGAGATTGCAAAGTTTAAGGCGCAAGGTCGATTTAATGAGCGATGACGATTTTAATGCTATTTCTTAGGAAAACTCAACTGACGGAAGGGGTCACAAGCGTCAGATATACCAGCTTCAAATTGAAATTTAAATAACATTGAAAGTATTGTTATTGTAATTATGGTTTAATAAATATTTAAAAACTATCTTATGTCTTGACCGCGCCTCCACTGACTGAAGAGCAGTCATGCAACAAACGAAAATAGGTTATAAAACTCAAATTATTACCGGTACCGCCACGCTATGATGGCCGTTTCGACGTTTGCCCACTCGTCAATTTTCGTATTAATTCGTAACTATGTTGAAGGAGCTGCTTAATGCACATTGTTGTCAATAGTGACGTGTAGTAAAATTTACTACACAACTCGGCATTTGTTTTTTGAAATTCGTAATTTTTAAAAGTGTAATCTAATACGATCGTCACTTATAGGGTCACTGGCCAGCACAACTTCGACCTCCGGCAAACTCGCGTCAAAGCTCAATGCAAAACAACGAAGTTTCGGCGTCCTGCGTGATGAACTGCCGTTTTGTGAGCAGGAGAGTGAATGTCGTTGCCAGACGCAACCATAGATTACAACAACAATCAATCACACAATTTTCTAGGCTTACACAAACTCAAACTAGGAACTCATATAGTATACAATGCTAAAGATGAAATAACTCAAGATTTTAGATATTTTTTGAAGTATAATAAGTAATGGACATTATGATTATAACATTGTAAGATTCTTAACAAAACTGATGCTGGGTCGTATGCAGCATAGTGTAAGAGCACGTCTCCTGCCTGCGCGACGGACTGCCATACAGGTAGTGAATGGGTCAATACAGGGTGTTGGTGAAATTACAGGCACTTAAGACTTGTCAAGTTTATCTCTCATGGTGATGAGCGCAGTCGCTTTGCCTCTCAGATCTTTGCTATTCAAAGCTTTATTATCGATTCCTACCTTCCACAGACCACTGTTTCCGTGGTATCCTCACTTTAATATTTATATAGAAAACTGTCCCGTAGAGGATGAAAAAACTTGAAAATGTCCAGAAGTTCTTTCGTAAAAACGGTCACTATTTGAAATATTACGGAAATTTACCCACAGTAAATAATTACTAAATATTAATTGCATTATAAATAGTTGCCGAATCACTAAATTGTTTATTTGTAATATTAAAGGTCTTAAAGGCCTATTAAGACGTGGGCGTTATTCGCTGTCGCTGCTGTGGGTAGCGAGATCCACTATTCACTAGAATTATATAAAATCCTGTCTGACTTAGAAAAATAGAACGCATACTTCCCGATATGGTGGAAAAAAGATATTTATACCGTTGTACGCGGATAGGCTCCAAGGTAAAAAATTAAATATGAGAAGACCTGAAATGTGAGAAATGTAAACGAGTGATCAACGGCCTGCAAAAACTATAATACATATGGGGGATTTTTGTGCACTTTTATGAGATAGACCTTGGTCAATTTCTGCGGAATGTAAAAAATGTTCGAAAATCAAATAAACAAGATGGAAAAACTTGCTTCGATGTGGTTGAAAATTGGCATGCGGTGGTCTTTAGAAGTCCTTAATCATAATTTGTGGTCAAAAGTTTTTTTCGCCAAATTTTAATATGGCTGCCATACAAACGTTTTTTTTCGTTGAAAATAGATACTGAACTAGACTCGCTCTGTTTCAGCTGAAAATTGGCATGTGGTGGCCTCTAGAAGTTCCAAATAATAATTTGTGCTCAAAATTGGTTTTTCGCCATTTTCAAATATGGCCACCATACAAGCGTTTGTTGGCAGTAGAAAAAAAAAAATATTCTGATCTCTTCCAAAATTGACGTGTGGGAGTCTCTAAGAGTCGTATTCTAGAACTCTACTCAATGCTCAAGTTAGGATTGTACTGGAAACACAAGCACTGGAAATACGACCCTAATGGCAGGGACTTGAGTATGATTTTGAGTGCTTTAAACGATACTCAAATCCTGACTTGAGCATTGAGTAGAGTTCTAAAATACGACCCTAGGAGTGCTTGATAATAATTTGTGAACAGCATTAGTTTATCGCCATTTTTCAATATGGCTATGGATTTTTTTTGTACATTTAAATATACATTTAAGTGCATTATGTGGTTGGCTATAATTGAAGTTGCAAGTATATGTTAATTAATAAGTATTTATTGTTCTGTATACGTTAAGTTGTAAACTTTGTTGGCAATCCTTAATAAATAAACAAATAAACAAATAAATAAGTAAATAAATAAACAAGTAAATAAGTGAGTGAGTGAACGAGTGAGTGAATGAATGAATGGATGAATGAATGAACGAACGAACGAGTGAACGAACGAACGAGCGAACGAACGAACGAACGAGCGAACGAGCGAACGAACGAACGAACGAACAAACGAACGAACGAGCGAACGAACGAACGAACGAACAAACGAACAAACGAACAAATAAACATACAAATAAAAACAAATAAATAAACAAACAAACAAAAAAAACAAACAAACAAACTAAAAACAAACAAACAAACAACCAAACAAGCAAGCAAGCGAGCGAGCGAGCGATAAAACATTCCAATTTACGCTACATTTTGTAAAATTAAAAATAAGGTATTTAATTAATAACTATTGTAACTATAGTGGAAAAATAGGGTGGTTTGCATCAATATTAGACATAACTGGTTGAAGACTGTACCACCTCAGTCAACTGTGACCATGGGACCTGTAAAGGACCCCAAAACGTCGGTTTGTTTGAAAAAACAAATATACGCGATTTAAATCTGGAAAAATAGTTTCATTTCCTATGTGTAACAATCGCGAAAACCTAAGATTTTATGTTATTTATGTTATGTTAACATAACAATTTGAATAAACTTCTTTACATAATCTGTCGATAAAAATGGGAGCTAAGAGAGTGCGTCGCTTCTTTATAACGAAAAAAACAGCGTCCATGAAGTACTGCATTTTTTGTCTATAGTTGCCTGATAGTAAATAGGAACTTGATAGGCATGCTTATGTCAAATGTGCGAATGTTTTCAAATATTTTTTATGTAATCGATAAATTGAATCAATGTGATAACTGTGAAAACTGTCAAACTGCCAAAAAATAGAAAATTAGCAATTAATGTAAAAAATAGGCTTATGTATGGAATGTAATTCCACCCTTGGCTAGACTGGATGCAGCAGAGATTTTTTGCAAGTTTGTATAGCGCAAGACATGTTTCGTGTAGTACTTGACGCGGTGAATTCGATAATGGAAATGAAAATACTTTTGAAAGTAGTATTTATTGTGCGATAGTTGTTTTGTGCTTGTATGTATGTACCTATCGATGACGCTTCCAGTCCTATGCGCTCTAAGGCAAAACAATTGTCGCCGTACGCCTAATTATGAATAAAAATTTTGACAGTGCAACACTGAGGCAATGGTAGTAAAATGATTTTCAAAAATGTCAACCCAGTCGATTTGTTTTTGACACGCCTTGTGATCGCCTTCGACGATTTATTTTCTTAATTTGTGTGAATTTGTGCTTTTTATATAAATAATATAATAATAACTATTATTTGTCTAATTATAGTTAGTGTGTCTATATATAAGTGCTTATTCGTGTAATCTTCCCTAGAAACTTCTAAAACACAAGTAAGTTCTACTTTCTCTGTTGTCAATTTATAACACTGTGAAATTGAAAAGCATAATTTGTTAATACGCATTCTTGTGATAATGGTGTTTTTAATTTAGCCGCGTTGACGTTAACGACTACGGGTTTTGTTATTTATTTCGATTTCTCCGTGTAATTAAGGAGTTTATTGTTTATTTTAGGTTAAAAAAATTATAAAAATTGTTTAGAACAGTAAGTTTTTTCAATATATTGTAAGTCGTGTTATTTTTCGTAGAAAACAAGACTTGTTGTTCTAAGTGCTCAATGCCTTATGAATCATTATTGAGAAATTTTTTGATACTATCGTAGCTTTACGAACTTATTGTGATTTAAATGGTTTATATTGCCAGTTTATCCGTAATCGAGTAAAGAATGGTTTGAAATCAACTTTCAATAGACCATAGAAGGTATATGAAGGTATTTCTAGTGCTTCCTTTAATATGTTATCAAACAAAGATAAAACCGTTGTAGTTTATTGGGAAGTTTCCTTCTGTTTTCCTTCTAGAAGCTTCCATTTTCTGGAACATTTGGCTAACTTTGGGAGATTTTTGTGGCTTGAAACTTTTATAGTATAATCTAACTTCTTCTTTATTGCTTCCGTGGCTGAACGGTTACCATGACGGTCTGCCATGCGGAAGTCCCAGGTTCGATTCCTGGGCCGGGAGAAATATATGTATGGCTGACAATTATTTCTCTCGTGAGTTTGGGTGTAATTTATGGTTGTCTATGTACGCTTCCAAGTAAATGCAGCAATTATTATTATTACTTCCAGCAATGACAACCCTCGCAGACCCGTACAGCCAGTCGAACACGGGTACCCTGACATTAAAATGGGACCCCAAGACCTTGGAGATCCGCACCACTTCAGTGGAACGGACGCTGGAGCCGTTAGTGCTGCAGGTCACCACCCTCGTCAATAGCAAGGACAAGGCTGCTAAGAAAAGGCGTGAGTATTTTTTATATGACGATGCTGTTGTGGATATTGTGGTCGGCAGTGATCATGAATAGACCTAATGACTCTTAACACATCATACAATTTTGGGCTGTTCGAGCAATTTCCTAGGTTACGTGTGTCATTGGCATAGAAGTTTAAACAAATTATCAGAGATCTGCTCGCCATGACCAAACCCCAAATGCTAGCTTCCTGGTTGGTCCTTTGGCAGGAATCACGACAAACTGTTGGTAGACACTATGGTAACCTCCAACCAAATCTACCCACTAAACCCTGGTTTTTTAAACGTCGCGATTTGCCTAAAAACATCACTTCCACTATTATTCGTTTGCGCTTAGGCCATGTTTGCACACCTGTATTTTTGCGTAAAATCAGAGTTCGAGATCACTCTCTGTGCGAGGGCGGCCTAGAAGACGGTACCTTGGAACACATTTTTTTCAATTGTCCTAATATTGCTGTTCCACTTTATAACTTACTTCCTTCAAAATTCCCCCACCCCATTAACATAAATAACCTCTTAACTTTAGTGTTCTCCCCCCATATTGTTACTCTATGTAAATTTATCCACTTAAATAACATATATTTATAAATGTTGTTTTGTTGTTTTGTTTTACATTCTCAACTGAGTACTCCCGTGGTCCAACTTACCAACACCGGTTAATGTCCTATTAGAGCTGAGCGATTTTTTTTTTGTTTCGTTTTTTTTTCTTTCAACCGTGACATTGGCAAAATCATCACTTCTCATAATGATGGAGCCATAAAAATAAAAAGTGAAGTGAAATTATCATTCTCACAATCAACAATTTAGTCTTCAAATTAAAAATAATATAATATGAGTAAACTACGCCTTCGATGTGTCATCAACTCGCCGTCGAAGAGCAGAATACCCAAAAATGCCAATGGCAGTTGAATAGCCTGACCTCTGATAAGCCACTTTGACCTACAGAAACGTGCGGTTATGGCAATTTATAATCTGGGCCCCAGAGTGTCTTTAACAGATAAGTTTAAAGAGATTAATGTTCTTGCACTAATGTCACAGTACATCCATGAGAATGTTATTTATGTTAAGAAAAATATTAATTTATTTATGAAAAGTAGTGACAGACATAACCATTAATACAAGGAATAAAAATAAACTAGCTGGTTGTGACAGTCATCTCCATAAAGTCATTTAAGGGGCAATGTATACCCTTCTATAATAAGATTCCGATTTACATTATAAGAAACAAACTCTTTCTACTAAAGGTTTTTATCAGGGATCGAAATAGGTAGAGTTCTTACGCGCGTCAGAAAATGTGCAATATAAGTAGTGAATAGGCAGGTTTGAACGCGCGTATAGTGTGCAAATCTATGGAAGATAGGTCTAATAATACATCTATTTTTTTTATTTTTATTTAAACTTAATTGCACACAAAACAGTACAAATGGCGAACTTATGCCATTAGGCATTCTCTACCAATCAACCGGAGAGCTGGGTTCAAAATATATAACATGATAATTAAAACAGATAGGAAGAAGTTTACAAATAATTATGATATATAGTTTAAACTCAATATAAATATAGCACATAATATTATATGACTAACTATATACTTATATAAGCAACCTAAATACACACAAATACATAATATATAATGCATAGACATATATATTCAATACACATATATATAATAATGTCAGACTAATGGGATGTAGATTGAGACTCCAATATGGAATCGCGGAGTAATTGCTTGAAAGCTAGTTTATTTCGGCGCTTTTTGAATATGAGGCGGTAGAGCGTTCCAGAGTCGTATTGCCTGAAGAGTAAACTTCTACATTTATGGCAAAATGTGATATGACAATATTTAATTATGACAATAGGATGTATCGATTGGAATTTTTTTTAGAGAGGTATTGTGAAAAAATACCCAATGTCCGCAATATCGCAGATCCGACCCGCTGCGTCGCAAAGTTAAGATAAATATAGTGTACCTGCCTGCCCCAATTACGTCAATTTTTAATGCACTTAAGTGATTTCCCGAATCCCGAACAGGTCCAAGACCTAAAAAATACTGTCATAAGGCAGTCTCCATTTTCTGTCTATATTCATCGAAGCTTAGGCAAAAAAACTCTACCTATTCTTATCCCTGGGTATTATACAGCTTCCTCGTACTTGGATGACAAGAATCAGTGGTAGTGACCCAGTTAGTTCTTGCAGGTATTCTCGATCTAGGTAATTTGTTTAAATTAAATTTTGTAATGATAAATGTATACAAATGTATATTTACAAAGAGCAACCCCTAGAGTTTCTTACTCATTCTTCTCAGGGAATCTGCCTTATGAATGAGCAATGGAGTTTAATCAGTATTACAATTTCAAGGGTAATTTGCTTCCCTATGAAATAGAAATTGTTTGACTTTGACTACACTTAATCTTTAGCAGACTTGGGACCCTGGTTGGCATATTTGCCCTGAGGTCGACCGTCTTGTATCACTCCACGCCACGCAAAGGCCCCAGGTTGGATTCCCGGGTCGGGAGAAATATTTGTATGGCCTACATTTATTTCTCTCCCGAGTTTGGGTGTAATTTGTGTTGTCTATGTGTGTGTCCATGGCACACGCGACACAGGGTTTCCCTAGTGCGGGGCTATGTTGAGTGTGTGCGTTATTATTATTATTAATCTACGTTCCCTTTAAAGTGACGTTATTCTAGCATCCATTCCCTATGACTAAATCATTATAATATACTAGATTTTTTTGGACAGCTGGCAAATCAAAGCGTGCAAGTGCACTGGTAGCGACAGTGGAGCGTGCGACCGAGATATTCATCGAACGAGGTCAGCAGATTGCGTATGAAAATCCAGAGATAACACAGGAAATGCTCACTGCCGTTGAAGATGTTAGGAAGGCCGGTAAGTCTGTGATCAGCAGTGGAATGTGTCAGATTAAAATAATAAAAGATCCTCTTGTACAATAATAAAAGATTCTGCGTTCCAGCTTAGAAGGACAATGGTGCTGGTGAAATTATAGGCACGTGGGACTTGTCAACTTATGTCCCTTAGTGCTCTTAAAACCTTTGCTATTTAAAGCTCTGCAATTTATGAGCAGACGTGTCTCTTACCACCAGGCGCACGACTGGTTCGACTCGTCATTTGCTATTGATAAAAAACAAGAAAATAATGGTAATTTCAAAGTCTCGGACAAGACTTTCTTTTACATACAATCCTTGTACAACCCTAGCGCATTGGGTTCCGCACGACTGCACACGGCGGGCAACGTTATTTTCGCCTCTCCGAGCGCGTGCTTGGGTTTCTTTTCCTCGTGCGTGTTTTACTTGAGCGGTGCGCAGGCGCCGCGATGTCGCTGGCGGCGCGCGAGTTCTCGGAGGAGCCGTGCGCGTCGGCCGTGCGCTCGGGCATGGTGCGCGCCGCGCGCAGCCTGCTGTCGGCCGTCACGCGGCTGCTCATCCTGGCCGACATGGTGGACGTGCAGCTGCTGCTCTCCAAGCTGCGCACCGTGAGTGCCCGCTTTTGTCTCACTCGGTTTCATGAAGGGATCCTTGCATTGTGTGGGACGGCAACGTTCGTCAAATTTCATTCACTGTTTTTCATACAAAATATATCAAATTGACTCATTTTTTTAATGCCGTCAGACTCAATTTCTTATAAGAACAATTTTATTATATTGGAAGCAGTTTTATTATAATGGGAACAATAGAAGTTTGTGAAACGTTATTCCGAAATACAGAAAATAATATTGTAAAGAAAGTTATCAACAAGTAACATTTAATAGTTTTCACATATTTCGTTTTCAATTCTTTCCCCCCCTTTTTCAGGTGGAAACCGATCTGGACAAGCTGAAGTCGGCCTCGTCGCAGTCCGAACTGCTGGAATCCGCCAAGCAGTTCGGCAGGTCGGCCAACGAGCTGGCTGCGCAAGCGGCCAAGCGGCAGCACGAGCTCAAGGAGCCGCGGATGAAGGACGAGCTGGCTGCGGCCAGGGCCGTGCTCAAGAAGCACAGCACCATGCTACTCACAGCCTCTAAGGTGAAATTAGAATTAATCTCTATTTCATACTTATGCAAATTACTGTCCCAGGATTATGAACCGATACAACCTCAAATGGCTATAGTTGAATCCACATAACAGTGACAGCGTTGAATCAATCACTTTAGAAAAAATATATTGTAAAATTGAGGAGATAGTGGTTAGTATATGGTGTAAAACACGATTCTTGAAAATTTTCACTATAAAAAAAAAGAAACACAAACTTACCTCGAAATTTTACAAGAAAACTGCTGTATCCAAAAGGTACTATATTGCTTTAAGTAATTATTACTTCAATTGTTGCATTTTACAAGACATAAGTTTCCAAGTTCATGTTACTTTAGAACGGATGTTGTTTTTAAAGGAACTAGAACAACCCCGCTTTCTCACGAGAAAAAATGTAATAAGCCTCAACAAAAAGATCTAGTGAGAGAAGCATTCTCCCATATTCGTTAGATGAAATTGTGGCGGATGCTCGGAGGGTTGTTAGTTGGAGAAGTGAAACGCTCGATGTCTAGCTCGCAATTAACATTTATTTCGAAATCAGCCCCTACCTTTATACAAAATTTATAAAATATAACGTACACCCCAAACATAAGTTGGAGAGAGAGAGAGAGACTATATATATGCCTCTCGCTCTCACGTAAATACTTGGCGCGCCCGCGGGCCGCCAGTCAGTCGGCGCTCGCGCGGCGCTGAGTGGACGAGTTGATGAATGCCATAAAATCAAAGAGCACTATCAGTGGCTTTCTTAATTCCGCCGACAATGAGACGTTGGTGATCCGTAACTTCGGCTAGTTACTTCTAAAATTTCTGATAATAACATGAAACTATCCGTAACAGCCACAGTAGGTTACCAATGATTTTTTTTTATATCAAATTAACTAAATAGAACACGTATAGTATATATATATGAACATTTTTCAAATGGTTTTCATCAATGGGGTTCAAGCAAAAAGAACCATATTAGTACAGGTAAAATTTGAAATCAGAAACATTTATTATACGAATTGGTAAAATACAGGTGTTACTTACAAGTGATTAGATCTACAATTCTTACCCAAATCAGGCGTACAATGTCTTAAAATTATAATTAAGTTAGTTATACAATTGTCAAATATTTGATGTCTTTATATAAAATTCGTTAAGATTGTAAAAAACTTTGTCAATTAACCATTTTTTTAAACAAGCTTTAAATTTATCACCATTTAAACATTTCATTTCCATTGGAAGTCTGTTATAAATTCTTATCGCTGTTACATAGGTGCTGCGGTCAAAGATCGTGCTGTTTATTTTAGGGAGGACAAGACGGTCCTTGTTTCTGACGTTAACGGACTACTTTACATTAGATATTTTAGTAAAGAAGTTACTGTGATTACGTACAAAAAGGCATATTTCCAAAATGTATATTCCTGTTAAAGTCAGGAAACCCTTTTCTTTGTACAGACTTCTTAGAGAATAGTCACTGGGTTTACTATAGATTATGCGAAAGCATCGTTTTTGTATTGTGAATATTTTAACCGCATTGATAGAGTTTCCCAAAAAAATTACACCATACATTCATTGAATTCGAGATAAGGTAGAATAGATTCTTTAATGAAACTTGCGGGACCATAACTGGTTGTCTTAAGCCAACCCCGGTAAGATTGCTGGCCAGACATCCGCAGAAATGTAGCTGCATCTTGCAAATAAGCCAAAATGCCCAACGGCACTCGGCACCCTATGCACGATCACGTCACAGTGCAACAGAGTGTCGATCCTCTGAGCATTGAGAAGGCTCAGGCATCCCTGTCGTTGAAATTCTGATACACATACATATCTAGACCAGATCGAATCCTAAATTGGTCTTATGGGGAACCGATCCCTCACTATCTAATACCCAGTTGCTAATCACTGTATCTGACGTAATCTCCTAGGTGTACGTGCGCCACCCGGAGCTGGCGGCGGCCAAGGCCAACCGCGACTTCGTGCTGAGGGCCGTGTGTTCGGCTGTGGACACCATCTCCGCTGTCGCGCAGGGACGCACTCTGCCTACCAACGGTCAGTTTGCCGTTCATTTCTTTGCGTATTCCAACAGACTGTTAGATTATTTCAACTCATGGCGCCATCTGTTGGCATGACGTCAAAGTATACATATATCGACTTCGTACGTTCGACATGTAGTAAAACCACGGAAGAAAAAAAAACAGTAAAAGCCTCGATTACTAACAGAACCGATGCGGCCAAAACTCACTTTCTTAATTTGCAGCACTACAAAAACTTGATATTAATTGGTCGTAGTTTCAAATGTAAAAAGAGTAACAAATTCTGGATTGTTAATATAATTTAAACTTTACCTTGTTGGCATGTCGTTGAAAGTACAATAGCATCGATGCCTATTATTACAAGTTACGACCTTTTGATATTATATCGAAATTTCAATCAATGTGCTGCCATCTAGCGGTTAATTGCTGAACGACGACGAATTGGACCACGGCTAATATTTTTGGCGCGGCAATCATTTTTGCCCTCGAAAACAGCACAACAAGGCATTTTTCTACGGTTTTAGAGAATTTGCGCGAAACAATGACACAACCATAGCTAAAATGGCGGACTGACCTCAGATAGGTCTTTCGAGGCTAAGGGTCGTATTCCAGAACTCTACTCAATGCTCAAGTCAGGATTTGAGCAGATTTGAGGATGATTTCAAGCACTGGAAATACGACCCTAATGGCAAGGACTTGAGTATGATTTTCAGTGCTCACTGCAATACTCAAGTCCTGACTTGAGCATTGAGTAGAGTTCTGGAATACGACCCTTAATGTTGGCACGCGTCAGACGCTAACTAACCACTTCTACTGTATTTATTGTTCTGTGGGTGAAGACCACGAAGAGTGAAGAAACTAGTGTGGTTGGAGAAGAGTCGCTTCTAATAGTTTAAGGTTCGAATATCTTTGATTACTAAGTTACTTAGTTTTTGTAAAGGAAAACATCGTGGTGAAAGAAACAATGCATATCAAAGACTGTTCACAACCAATACTTATGAAGTCCCTAACCCGCATTCAGTTCAGCCCTGAACCTTCTCTTTATTGGAGACCCACGCCTAGCAGGAACGTGTAATGAACTGGTGATGATGTAATGTATACCTTTGCAATGTTTCAGGATCTAACCGAGCTCCAGTAGAAGGCCCCGGGGAACTGGCTCAAGCTCTTGATGATTTTGATGTAAGTTTCTATCCGTTAGGTCTATCCGACTTATATTTGGACCCCGGAGTGTCCTTGAGAGAGAAGTTTGAAGAACGTCACAATACGTTTATGTTGAAAAGAACAAAACATTAATACGAGGAATAAAAATAGACTGGCTGTTCTTGATGGATGGAAAAATTTCCATTTTGAAAATATCATATTTTTCAGAAAAATAAATATTTAAATTTGTATTGAATTGGTTATCAATTATTGTTTGTGAAATTGCTCCACTAGTTTGTTATAATTATTAATACACTGCTCTAGCTAACAGCCGAATAGCGACGTCTCTAGCCAGGGCTGGTAGCTGTAAAGTTACCTAACAGGGTGACGAAATACTTTCATACATTTCTCATAGATGGCGCTACGGCTAAAAAGTCGTTGAAAACCAAATACAAAGATCCGACAGCAGACTCCGTCAAATTTACAATCGTTTATATTTTTTTTAACTAATGTAGATAGGAAGCGTATACCTTTAATTCGTGAAAGTCGCAAATAGGTAGCAATTATTGGTAATACATACTTCTGGAAAATCCGTTCCCTTCATTCTGAACAAAGTGGCGACCAGCCAATCTGACGTCAGAATGGCTGGTCAATTATTTTTTTTAAATTTCTCTGAACATACAAAGGTAGCAATTATTTAGAAAAGGTAGCAAATAGGTAGCAATTCTTGAATATACACTCAGTACCAGATGCGACAGGCGGCCAGTCATCCTGACTGTCACAATTTGTGGTTGTCTACTTAAGAAACAAAAGTTATGTAAGAATAAAAATGATGATTCTAGGAGCGTATGGTGATGGAGCCTCTGGCGTATTCCGAGCTGCGAACAAGACCTTCACTTGAGGAGAGGCTGGAGTCCATCATCTCCGGAGCTGCTCTCATGGCTGACAGCTCTTGCACCAGGTATTTCTTTATTTAATTTTGTTTATTTATTCTATTCATCCAAACTCATGGTGCCACGATTTCGTAAAATCGACTAGTCCAAGACCTTATTAATAAAGCTGACTTCTTGGGAGTGACCTTAGATAGTAAACTTCAATGGTTTCCACATATATCTTCCCTGGCCAGCAGATTAAGCGCTGCTGCATCCGCAGTCCGTAGAATACGTGAGCTTACCGATGTTAGTACTGCTAGACTAATTTACTTTAATTACTTCCATAGTATAATGTCCCACGGGATTCTCATGTGGGGTAAAGCGGCAGATATTCAAACCATATTTGTATTGCAAAAACGAGTGATTCGTTCTGTGTACCGTTTAGGCTCTCGGGTTTCTCACAGAGAAAAGTTTGAGGAGACAGGTACCATAACTGTGGAATCACAGTACATTTACTCAGATATTTTATATGCCCGTAAAAATATACATAATTACAATAAGAAAGAAGATGTCTATAATATTAATCTTAGAGCTAAGTCCAAACTTATGGTACCACGATTTCGTTTAACCAAGGTAAACAACTCTCTTATGGGAAACTGTATACGCTTTTACAATAAGATTCCGGTGAATATATTAAGATTATCATTTCCTAAGTTTAAAACTTATACTAAAAGTATTTTAATTGAAAAGTCATATTACAAAATTGAGGAGTATGTTTTAGATAAAGATGTATGGAAAGACAACATGAGTCTGGATTCCACACAATTATGATACAAAGTGTATTCCATAACATTTAAGTTTATTTGAAAAGAGCAATCCATAGAGTTTCTTGCTCATTCTTCTCAGGGCAGTGAACGAGCAGTAGTTTAAAAAAAACGTAAATGTAAAATCTTTACCTATACAATAATTGATTATTTGATTTTGACTGAAAAGGGACGAGCGTCGCGAGCGCATAGTGGCGGAGTGCAACGCCGTGCGACAAGCGCTGCAAGACCTGTTGCACCACTACATGGCCAATGTGAGTATATTATTTACTTATAAAACTTATACATTTCCTATCTAAAATAAAAATAGTAGCAATTTTTTGTGTTATGTTACCTATTTCTGCGGCCAAGCAGTAATCAGCAGAATGTTTTTAAGCTCTGAGTGGCACTGCACATATACCGTCCACTAACTAAAACGTGGCGAAGTGACAAATGGTCAAATATCCGTTTCAAATAGCAAAAGATTCTCTTTTAAAAAACAGTTAAACCCCAACGAGCGACGCATAGCTGAAATATCATTAAAGAATTTCAATGTTCCAAAACTGGGTTATGGTTTTTTATGATATCTCAAAAAAACCTATCCTAGGTAATCTATCATAAAAGTATATTCTCATGTTGGAACAAGTCCAAAAAAAGTTTTTGAGAAATTTTTATAAGAAACACTTTTTCTATTATCCGTTCTTATATCCAACACGCTTCCTTCAGGGCCACTTAGGTTATGAGTCACTGGAATTACGCAGAAATGTGACCTTGCTCAGCTTTACTTTAAATGTGATGAGAAATAAGCTGGATAGTGTGAAGCTTGTGGAACAGTTCGCAAGATTTAATGTTCCACATAGATACTGCAACGAGCGTAGGAGTGTACGCCTACTGGCCACTGAGCCCTCACGCACAAATTTGTACCGGGACTCGCCCATTCCCCGAGCTAGAACACTCCTCAACTCTGTACTATCAGCATCGCCACAGTGTGATGTATTTATGACAGGGATAGTGAGACTGTTGATTGAATGGAAGAGAGTGCTAGAAAGAAGTCAGGATGGTTTTTAGGTTAATTTTATTTATTTATCTAGTTATAGCATAACCTACATTGTACATTTGCTTTGTTTTAGATTTAAGTAAATTATTATTGATGTAACGCTATGGTGTGAACTGTCATGTTGCATTAATGTCAAATAAATAAATAAATAAATAAATAAATAAATAAATCACAAACTCGATTTTTCCGAAATAAAGTTTGTTCGAATTTTCATTACACCGAAGACGGAATTATAAAGAAAACGTTGTTCTTTCAGGATATCGTCGAATAACTTTCTCAAACTCGTATCTTAAAGCACGAAACTACTGAAATGCAAAAAATGGATTGTGTATCATTGACTTACAATTATATGGACGTCGGGTCCGCGCTAAAAAGTGTCCGCACTTGTAAGGCGCTAAAATCGTATACAGAGCGCCAAACTCCGCTTTAGTCTTCATTTGTTCGACTGACAGCGCGATACTGCGATGACATTACAATTTAAATTTCGAAAAGGTTGACTTGGGACATTTTTTTCGTGGTTTTTGTATTAGACCCGTCGTCCATTTATTTGTAAGTCAATGTTGTGTATACAAATTTTGCAGGCTAATTTCACATCACGTTCCCTTCATACCACACCGGCTTTTAACTATTCGTAAAGTGTTTCAATCTAAATTACCATCCTTGATAAGAAGTTTAAAACGCGCGCTCGACTCTCTCCTCGCCACCAACCCTGAATGCGACTTGTTTGCGGATGGATGGTCACTGTTATTGTTAAGATGCCTACGCTATTGTGAAAGCGATGCTTGAATGGTACTTAATCTTGTTGTGTTTATTAATTTGTTATGTTAGTAATGTATCTTTAATTATTGTAATTGGTGTGTGTGGTTATAATTAAAGTAAAATAAATAAATAAAATAAAAATAAATAATAAATAAAAATAAACCTTGACTCTGCTAACTTATTGTCTAATATCAATATTAACATTAGATGTAACCTTCGGTGTCCTCGGGCTTTTGTCCTAAATGTTTTTAAAAATAACACGTCATTTTACAATCCCATAAAAAGAATGTGCCGCACCTTTAATGACTTAATTAAGGATAAAATACAGTTAGATATATTTAATTCTAAGTATCATATATTTAAAAAGTCTGTTGCGGGTGTCCTCAAGCAGTCTAGTTGAAGTCTCGCAATTTTATTTTAACACTTTTTCTCTATGGTCTTTTCTTTTGCTCTATTTGTACCAACACAAAATTTGTAATTTATAATTAATTGACAGAAACTTTCAAAACATGCTGTACGTACACGCTCCTGGTTGGCATTCTGGTCCAAATCTAGTTTTAAGCAAATTTATTTGTTAAATCTTTCTTGAATGTCGACTGTTGTGTTCGTCTAATAAATAAACACAAAGTTTTGCCATCTCCCGAGCAATCACTCTATAAAAGATAGTAGTTTAAGAAAGTAAGGCATCGATATGTTGGATATTTATCGCAAAGACACGATTAGGTTAGGTTAAGTTAGGCTTAAAAGGAAAAACATTTTCCTCTCAAAATTACTTTCGAGGTTATGAAAATTCGAGCAAACGTTGTTTCTGGAAAATGTCATTTCACTACTGACAGGTAACCGCTTACCACCAGATCCACAACTTGCTAACTCTTCGTTTGGTATCATACGAGGTCTGTAAATTAAGTAATGAGACTAATTTTTTTTTTTTGTTCAAAAGGAATTACAATTCTATGTTGTCACCTTCAAAATAACTTCCTTCTGAGGCCACACAGTGCTGGAGACGTTTCTTCCACTCCTCATAGCAGTGCTGGAACTCCGATACTGGAATAACCTTCAGCTGGTCGGTAACAGCCGTTTAAATTTTTTCGACTGTCCCAAAATGATTTCCCTTGAGGTGATTTTTCAACTTTGGGAAGAGAAAAATGTCACAAGGACTCAAGTCAGGCGAATAAGGAGGCTGAGGAGCCACAGGAATGTTTTTACTGGCCAAAAACTCGTTTATTGAAATTGCTGTGTGACAAGGAGCATTATCGTGATGCAACACCCACTTGTTCTTGATGTTTGGTCTCACACGAATGACCCTTAAAACATGGGCTCTTGGCAAAACACTATCTCCGTAGGCCTGCTGAAGTTTAAGAAGAGTTTCCGTTGCACTGTGACCAAGTCTGAAGCAAAACCTGATAGCACACCGTTGCTCGAAATTGATGTCATTCATTTTTAGAACACAATAGAAAAAACTGTTTCACAAAAACAATCGCTACGCACAATCAAATGACTCGAGAGAGGTCAAAGTCGTACTGAAGGTGGATCACATGTTCCTCTGCCGCCCCACCAAGCCCCGCGCTTCCAGTGTTGCCAGATCAAACGCAACGTTGCCAGTCTCATTACTTAATTTACATACCTCGTAAATAAAATATATAATATACGGACGGTAAATAAGATATTACTAACGAAGGTATATTATATAATAGCTCGAGTTTTGTATTTTCTTACCGTCCGTGATACGTACAATGTTTTTCATCGTATTTGCTAGGACATAAATACAATGTTTATGTCTTGTATGAATAAATATGGTTCACAACACAACAATTATTATTATGGACTTTTCAAATGGTTATTTTTTTATCAACAGATGATCATTACCTAGCTATTCTCCCATAGATAATACAACTCATATTTAAATGTTGTAAAATGCAAAGACGCCATGATGGATTGTAAAAATAATTGCTAAATTTTTATACAGAAAATAATTAAATTCACTTATAAGAAATTCTTAATAGTAACTGCCTCTGACTGCTACGCTGAGGTCCCAGGGTCTATTCCCGTGCTGGGAGAAATATTTGTATGTCCTACATTTATTTCTCTCGTGAGTTTGGGTATAATTTGTGTGTCCATGGCACCCGCGACACAGGGTTTCCCTAGTTGTGTGTGTGCGTTATTATCAAAAAGAAAGCATTTAAATCATTGACTTACAATTATATAGACGTCGGGTCCGCGCTAAAAAGTGTCCGAACTTATAGGGCGTTAAAATCGTATACAGAGCGTCATTCACGCTTTAGTCTTCGTTTGTTCGACTGACAGCGAAGCAAGCAAAATTAGACAGTACTGCGATGACATTACAATTTAGCTTTTTCATATTCCTTTACATGTCACTACATTTAAATAGGTTGACTTGGGACATTTTTTTCGTGGTTTTTGTATTAGACCCGTCGTCCAATTATTTGTAAGTCAATGATTTAAATAGTATTTTGCTGAATTGCAATAAATTTCTGTTTAGACAACATTTTAAGCGAATGTTTTAATTTTGAACTTAAGTAACCTTGCTTGAACTTGAACTTGATCTATTGAACCTGACCCATGTAAGGAAGTATGTCGTGTTACCAATAAAAAACAAAATCCTTGCCAACTATGGCTGTAATGGAAAGAAAAAAGACCCGTGGGATTTATTTGGGGAATGTATTATAGTCAAGATAACCACCATGCAATCATACCATTTACGAGCAAGTTTGATAAAAAAATAATGATTAATTTTCTAACAGGCCGGGAAGCCAGAACAATCCGAAGGCCTTGAACGCGCCATTGAGAACATGTGTCGCAAGACCAGGGACTTGCGTCGCCAGCTGCGCAAAGCCGTCGTTGATCACGTGTCTGACAGGTAACTGGTATCCTACAAGGAGAGGGTGTACACCAGGGTTCGAAATTATCAATATATCGACGTCGAAATTGACAAGTTTACACCCCTGTAAGCCTCGCCAGCCTTTTAAGTTCTGAATTCATTGATATAAACATAACACGTGACTTTAGTTATTCTGAGTTTTATTCGGCAAAGCTCGTTATTCAAGTAATTTATTGCATTCATGTTGTTACATAGGTCTTAAGTTAGATAGTACAGATCAAACATGAACCCTGTAAGGGCATAGCAATGTCAATCATAAATTCTAAATAATCTCAGTACAGAGTACTAAAAAAAACCGACCTCAAAAGTAAGTGGAATTACGTCTATTTGCTAAATTTTATTGAAATGTCCCCTAGTTCGCCACTATACAGGACTTGACACTGGAGATAATAAAAATCGGTTCTCACTACTCAAAGTATATTGAGAGAAAAACGCCTTGAATTGGAGAAATAGCAAAATCAACCATTAAAGTAATTGCTCCTAAATTAAAGTTAGGCGCTATTTATAAAAATGAATCTTCATGCGTGAACAGCCACCCTTCGAGGTGGATGGTTTTCTTCAAAATGAAATGGGACCACTATGGAAGTACCCCCTTTCCAATAAAAAAAGAAAAATGAAAATCGGTTCACAAATACCGGAGTTATCGCGTAACATACATACAAAAGAAAAAAGAACATACAGACGAATTGAGAACCTCCTTTTTTGAAGTTGGTTAATAAGTCAAAATTTGTGTTACAATATTTACATTATTTCTTAATTTGGTATTCGTTAAAATAAACAAAATATAAATTATTACTAATCGTCCACAGTAGCAACCTCATTTTAGTTCTATTTTTAAAGTAGTTTATCGTCATGTTATTTAGAATTTTATAATGTCATTTAATTATTAATCAATTTAAAAATTTATTATCATATTGATTATTATACATATATACACATTAATAATTGTACATTTATGTGTTGCAACAATTTTAATTAGATCATCACATAGAGTATTGAAGAGGCATGAATGACTTTTGAGGTCGGTTTTTTTAGCACTCAGTACTAAGGTTATAGGTTGTACCGCTTTAGCATATCCCAAAAGTCTATTCTAAGGTAGCCTGGAAGAAATTGCTACATAGCAATAAGGCCGCCTGTTGCACATTAACTTACTACCACTATTATACTTAAGCTATTGTATTAAATTTTAATTGTAATTTTATGTGTAATAAAGAATATTTCATTCATTCAGTCGTGCGGCTTCAACGCGATTAGTGTTTTTTTTAAATTAAATACTAAAATAATGACAAATCTTTGCAGTTTCTTGGAGACCAACGTACCTCTGCTGGTACTGATGGAAGCAGCACGCAACGGCAATGAGAAAGAAGTAGAAGAATATGCGCTGGTCTTCACAGAGCATGCTAATAAGCTGGTTGAGGTAAGGGTGGCTTTCAAGTTTACGCTGTTTATTGTAATCAAAATGGCGGTCTCCAATGTGATGGTCACTCACTCGACTTACATGTTACTCGTTTAAGTTGTACGGTACACAAATGAACCGCATGGTATTTATTCAGTCATATGGTATACGTATAAGTCAAACGGTATTCTTTAGCCTTATGGTATACATGGTACTGTAAACTTGGACGTAGCTCGTGTTGCGTAGCGAGAGGTACTTTTATAAATATAAACTGGGATAATCTTCAAAACTTGATATTTATTGTACTTTTTACATATTTTCTTATTGAGGTTACATCTCGAACTATCAAGACGTTCTATTCTTTCTAATTTCCTATTTCAAAACACTTGTAAATACAAAACTATATTCACTCAGCCAGTAGTTCTACTCATACACGGTATATATTTCTGAAACGATATTCATTTAGCCTCGTGGTGCACATAAATGAGTTACATTGTTTGTTATAATTATTAATACAAAGATAAAACACTCAGAAAAAATTCCTTCGATCCGGTCGGATTCGAACTGTGTTAACACAGTGAATAGCGATATCTCTCGCCAGGACTGGTAGCTGTAAAGGTACTAACTGGGTGATAAATCTGTAATATATTTCTCATAGATGGCGCTACGACTAAAAAGTCGTTGAAAGACCAAGTACAAAGACACGACGCAAGCACATAGCTTAGTTGGTATAGCGTCTGGCACGGTATGCAAGAAGACGTCGGTTCGAATCCGACCGGATCGAAAGAATTTTTTCTGAGTGTTCGATCTTTGTATTAATAATTATAACAAACTAGTGGAGTAATTTCACAAAAAATAATTGTATATCAATTCAATAAAAAAATTAATTAACAGAGTTACATTGTATTTTTTTTTAGTCATATGGTTCATATATTAGTCGAACGGTATTCATTTAGCCTTGTGTTGTGGTACACATGGTTCACACGGTTTTCCTTTGTTATATTGTGTACATATTTAAAAACCTGTATTCATTTAGCCTCGTGGTACACATATGAGTCACATTGTATTCTTTTAGTTATATTGTAGACACGTTAGTCAAACAGTTTTAATTTAACTTAGGTACACATTTGTCATACGCAGACATGAGCTGTGTGTTAAAACCCAATCTATCTTTCAGGGTTTTAACCGCGTTTTTACGCAAAGCTGGGGTTTAACCCAGCAGAGCAGAAACGGCGATTATGGAATTCGGTGTATCCATACTTATTACAAATTTCGATCTAAAAAAATATTTTCTAGAAAAATAGGCAACACGCAATACCCATCTTGCAATACTTTGGATTTTCATTGCTAAAGATGCACATTACGAATCGATTTTTATGAAGATATATTCAAGAGCATACGATTTTTTTTTGTATCGATTTATTTCAATGCGATTGTCATGTGAATCGAGTCAATAGAAAGGAAAATCGAATCGTCTAGATCAGGAAGCAATAAACTTTTGTAATAAAGTCATTGAATTTGTACAAAACTCATATTCATTGCCTGTACAATATTCAGGTTACCTGACACCAGATTGCGCCACACGTCGCTGACAAGTGCAGATTAGTTAGAAATAATGTTTTATTATATTGTATGTACATACATACATAAGCTCGCGCCCTAGTCCCCCAGGAGGGGTAGGCAGAGATCACGGAACGCCACTTTGCTATATTGTATGTATGTTAGTCTATAAGGTTTGTATTTATGAGTTTTTGTAACCTGAATTCAAATAAAAAAAATATTGAGATATTTTTTGAAATAACTCCACTATTTAATTGTAAACATAACACATATTTAGTTGTAAGTCGTTTTTGCCTTCGATTTTGGGCGTTAGTGAGTTTTAACCCGTTTAACAATGCGCCGAGTTAAAACCTTGCCCATATCCGGTCATACAGTAATAATAACATATACATGGATATATATTCTTGTCGAAGTTATGTAATGACGTATTGCATATTTGTGATGTCTATATACTCCTCGGCAGGTGGCGAACCTCGTCTGCTCGATGTCCAACAACGAGGATGGCGTCAAGATGGTGCGTCACGCCGCGGGG